GGTTGTATCTCAGCGTAACTTTTTCCTCTTTAACTACTTGACTTGAATACATGCCCTTTTGGCAGTGAAGTTTATGATGATTTTCACTTTACGTCAGGAAAAAGCCGTCACACTCAATTTAGTAATTGATCTCACTAGTGTGAGTTTGTCGCATATCAGTCATTAGTGCTTTCAGACTTCTGAAGAAGCTTTACATGTTGGTACAATCATAATTTAAGCTAAACATTAAATATATCTGAGGGTTTGTAGAGACTTATTAATTGATTTTAGGTTGGAATACATCATGAACTGACATCATTTGGAGGAACATTGGAAACCTGGGAGGACTGAAGAGCTGTTTTGTCCTAGTATGAGACTCCTTAGCAGTTGCAATGAGAATTCGTGATCAGTGGAGTCAACCAAGTCGAACATGAGGACAGTTACTCAACGACGACACGGAGTGGAGGTCGTGCTATATCTTGAACTGACAGAAATAGGAAATATGGACCAATGGATTCCTAACCAGTGGCTCAGTGGTCAGTGCTAGTCACGGAACCTGAAGGTCCTGCTTTCGATCCATGGTATGGCAGGGTCGTAAGTGCGCACTGCTGAGGAGTCCCATACTGAGACGAAACAGCTGTCCAGTGCTGTCAGGTTTCCAATGTTGATCCAACTAGCATCAGTCCATGATGAATGCCAACCTAAACACTAAATAGAACAAAACAGTGACTATCTTTTCACCCGTTTTTTTCACACTCACAGTTGGTCTTCCTTTGACAAGACAGGCAGTACATTTATAAGTACAATACTGCAATCGAAACTTCCTACTCTTTGGGTAACATATCTAGGGACCTTCAACTGTTAAAATGAGTTGGTAAAAACGATAAATATATCTCCTAAAAGCGTCCCTTCGGGTCTTCTCTTTTTCTGTAAAGTAGGGTTCTTCATATAGTCAGTATCGAAATGACTACCGCAGTGAGGACAATAAAAGTTTACAAATGTTAGTATTTACTGACCAGACTATCTGAGAGCCTTAGTTAATAGACTGGCCTTCTGTTAGGGAGGTGGTGACTGGAGTCCAAAGAAATGTGGGGGATGAGGCACTATGAAGTAGAGTTCGGCTAGTCACTGGTTGGTAATTCTACCATACAATCCATGAAAAACAACTGTTGACAGGGTCTTGAGTTCAGCCGCTTGATAGTTATGCTAAATTATCATTTAAATAAAACATACATAAATTTCTATTCATTAACGCACTAGTTTTCAGATCAACTGTTCTAAAGTCGATCAATACAAAACAGGCTGACTTTAACAGGTTTAGCGATTTGTTAAACTGTCTAAAGAAAAAGATTTGGTTCGAAAGTAAAGTGATAACCACGAATATGTTTCATCCAGTTAAAAGGGAAAAACATGTTTTTATTGAATCCCGACTGATGTTAAATGATAAACAAATTTATAATCCTACTAGAAAGTAATACAGTCTGCTTTCCAAGAGCTGAAGATAAAGCCAGAAATGTATACTTAAAACCTCTAAGGATAGTCTTAAATAATGCAACTCAATGTATATTATTATAGACAAACATCAAGATGAAAATCTTTCGATTAGTGGTGAAGTTTTTGATAAGCTAGACTTCAATCAGTTGAGAAATATTAAAAAAACATGACAGTTCACTCTGTCGGGAGCCGGGAAATGTTAAATCACCTTCACATTGCAATAAATACCCCTCTGATAACTATCGAAATTCTACATCACTGTGATCTAGAAATCCAACACATTTCCCTCTGAACCATTCTTCATTATCAGCCCAACATAACGATTCGAGTAAGCCTAATAGCACTTATGTTCTCCAGAATATATACTTCAAGCTGCAGATCGGAGATTTCAGTAACCTTACACAATTCATACAACCAGTTTAACTAGCAAGGCACCCCCAGTGATTAAATGCAATGTAGCTCAATGTTAACTGTAACTGGATATACCTGGACTCCAGAAAGTGGTGCTGTACCGACTGAGGTGAAGGTACATCCAGCTGACGAGTAAAAAATACGGCAAAACACTAGTCCAGGATTACATTGCCATCCACTACCACGCAAATTACACGATAATGAATAATCGGGAAATATTGAATGAACTACATAGGAGTTAGTATGCGAATACGGTTCAAACAACTTGGTATAGTAAACAACGCGAAATTTCAACAACCAATCGACAAAAATTCAGTAGACATAGGTTGGAAAACAGTAAAAGATGTAGTACACCTTCATGAAGTTTTATTTTTTAAACATTGAACTTGAGACTTAGTTCGTAGTAATATTACTGTATTTCTCTACTCAAGAACCTTCTATTAGTTCGTCACACAATTTCGTACGATTCAAGGTCGCGAAATATTTCAATGTTTCAATGTTACGGGGTTCTCTATTAACCACAAAGCAACCAGTTAAGTTTCTTTATTTGGGCTAGAAAGGCAGGTTTTAATACAGTAAATAATATGTATTTGGTTATTTTGATTGCTGGTTTGTGGGTCTTTAAGGTAACTCTTTGGTGCTGTGCAACACTTTAGTATCTATTTGTGAAATAAGTTATTCCATTTTTATGAAATATGGTGTGCTGTGGACATATAGTTCAGTTGTATCACTCAAATCGCATGAATAGAAGGAAAGTGAATAATAAGTTTTGGCTTTTTATTTTGAATTGTGATAGCAAGAAAGCACTGATACTTAAAAGGCTGCAAATAAGGTAGCCCACATTATTTACTCAGTGAAGAATAAAGGAAGTAAGGCTTAGGTAGTGCAGCTGTGTTCAAATATGCGTTCAGAAAGTATAAATATGTGAGAGTCAATGTTCATAAATTTAGAGTTACCCGATCCGGCATGTAATATCAAATTCTTTACCGATATGGTGAATGCCAGGATGTCGCGAACCCCTAAGCTCCTTATTAGCGAAGTTTGGGATAAAATCGTATGTGAAAGTCGTGTTTTATGACTGGTGACTATCTGCACCATAGCTCAATGGTAACTGCATTACGTTTGGGTTGGAAATATATTAGGTGCCAAGTTGTGGTATCAGTTCATGAAATATTTGAATGTCGATTCGAGAAAAGTAGGAAAATGCAAACTTGTCCATGGATGTCCCTGTGGAAACAAAAATTGGTATCTGAAGACTCTAGTGTGTGTAGTTTTGAGGTGATCTCAGTTGGACAGGTGCATCCACACATTATCTTCATTCTAATGGTCGTACTCGGTTTCAGTATCACTCTATTCTTTTACTTTCCCTCTTAACTATTTTCTACTACTTTTGACTACTTCTATCTATAATTCTGTAGACACCATTTTGACGCCTGCACCTTAATATGCATGTGTGATACGAAACTGTGCATGCTGGGACTTATATGCAATAAGGCTCAGTAATGAACTAGTTGACTGACCGGATACTTGGGTCCTAGATATGATGTCAGTCAAACTCATCACATAGCGGTTACCACAGGAAGACTCCTCTCCTTTCTTATTAATCCAGAATGATCAGCGATCTACATCAGTCTGACGCGAATACCTCTGGTTCATGTACATCAGCTATTGTGTCTGTTATTCTATTCACTGATATTTTGCTTCCATTCGTAAGAGTTTTTAGTGAAGAAGTAAAACGACGTGCTGTTTCCTGCCGTTTTCGGTTTGAAACATTCTTCTCAACTTTGGCGACTGAAATCTACGTACTATTCAGGTGCCCACTGGATGCTGTACGACTTAAGCGTCACTGTAAGCTAGTTGAACTATTTTTCAATGTGCTCCGACCAATATCCTGTCTTGAAAGATTATTATGGAATCACTGTTTTCGTAGATGGTTTAACTAAACGTTGTTTTATTACTGCCGCATTCTTTAATCGGCCTATAGAATTGTAGAGTGTTATCTCGAACCAGTTCCTTCTCTGTTTGAATATTTGGGCTACTCAGTTTTCCATCTGTCATATTGCACCAAGTTTTTCTACAGATTGGTTCGTTTTAGTCATACTACTATGTCCTCTGATCACATCATATATTCATGCACATTTTTAAAAAGTTTACAGCCTTCTGCGATGCCAGTATCACTTAAGAGGAGGAAAAAGCATCACGGTGGATGGCAATGAGCTTTGAAGCAAATAACCTTACCTCAAATGACTGCCTGAAATTATAAGCACGAACTGCAGGGAAAAACAGATTACTTACAATCTCTTTTATTCTCCGATGTGTATCGTAACATTGGAGTAATTACACCGCAAGAAACTTGGTTAAATGAACTGTATGATGACAGTTTGATTTCTCTGAATAACTTCAAAATTTTTCGCCAAGATCGATGTAGCTCTACTAAGAAAGTGGAGGTGGAGTAGCTACCTTCATCATTACCCATTGGTGCATTTCGAGTTATATTTGCTTCAAATTCTCTTATGACCACATAGATTGCATAACTGCAAAATGACACCCAAAACATTTGAACAAATATCGCCTTACTTATATAACAAATATTTATGTGACGCATGGTTGCAGATTCTCCGAACTATCCGAATTCTCTGATACATTCACAGAATTCGCAGCCCCATACTCTGCGGTTCCCTGTCGATAATATGTGGCGATTTCAGCTCTTGCGACCAAAGCTTTCTAGAAACTCTTGGTCATTAAAACATCATTAAACGCACAACACGTCAGGATGCAACATCAGACTTGGTATTCGTCAATGGTACTGATATATACGAAACTCAAAAGAGATCCCCGCTGCTCAGATCAGTGTATTATACGTGTTTTGCCCAAAATATACGGCAAACGTCACAAAACAGCTTTCACATATAAGGAGACTGTACATAGAAACTATCCACTTAGTAACATATTTAATCTAAGAGAAGTGCTTCAATGTATAGACTGGAATATATTTGACAGCGATGATTTAAATGATACCATTGACGGCTTAACACGCTATCTCAAGTTCTGCCCAGATATATGTTGCCCAAGTGAAAAGCTTTTTCTACGCTTCGATCGTATATCCTCTCGCCAGCTTAAGGAACTAAGAAGAGAAAAAGAAAGACTATATAAGGTAAGTGATAATGCTGGTGCTTGTCGATTTAACGTTTTAATTAGGTTGGAAATTAAACGTCTGAGTGTATACTTTACAACCAGAAACTTTTGTCACGCAAAGGTTCTTCCAGCATGTGGAAACTTTTTAAAGACCTTATGGTAGTAAACACCTTAGCAAAGAACCTTATGTTGATGCCTGTGCTTGAACAAATCATTTTTGAGTCAACCCACTTGTTCGATCCCACTTTGTCTACCTATGTCCAATGAAGAAGGTTGTCCAGAGTTCACCGCGAACGATGTTTTCAAATGTCTCAAATCTATAAACCCTTTTCGCAGTTCAGGTCCGGATGGTATGTCAGGCTTCGAACTCACGAAATGTGCTGACATTTTATGCTATCCATTAGCTAACATGTTCAAAAGATCGTTTTTAGAAAACACCATACCAGCTGCCTGGAAAAATATTAAGATAGTCCCCATACCTAAGTCTAAGACTCCAGGTGCATGTACAAAATACCGTCCGATTGCGGTTACATCTCCGTTAATAAAAGTAATGGAGAAGCTTATAATACCTGTGCTCGAGCCCTCATTGAAGGCTTTCGTAGACCCTAGTCAATTAGCATATAAAAGCAGAAGAAGAACTTTTGATGCCACCACTCTCTTATATCATGATATTACTTATAGTCTTGATAAAAATGCCAAATATGTCAGGTGTGCCTTTTTAGACTGTACTTTGGCATTTGACTCTATCCCAAGATTTCTTTTGCCGGACAAGCTTACCAGGATAAATACTGAATCCTGGATAATCAGCCGCCTGAATTCCTATTTCTCTGATAGGAAACAATATACTGTTCACAGAGGGAAGCGCTCCATCTCATTGGTTCCTGTGGCTGGAGTTCCCCAAGGAGCCATCCTTTCCCCAAGTCTTTCTGTATGACTTACCATCTTCAGCTGGTATCCATTTCATGGAATACACTCATGACCTAACAGCTTCCATACCTATCTCCTCTTCAACAGGTCAGTCCAAATGAATGACTTCCTACCTACTGTTAAACAATGGTCCTTTGAGAATGATCTTGTGCTTAATTCTTCAAAATGTCAGATCATAAACTTTAGTTTTAGACGTGAACATAACTTGTGTAAACTGCTTAGTTCTCATGATTCCTGTTCTGCTGATAGTTGCGCATTAGAGACTGTTACAAATGTGATTTATCTTGGTGCGTGTTTTTCTTTGGACCTTTCCTGGTCTTCTTATATCTCACTAATTTCCAAAAGAATTTTCCACCTAACTTTCTATATCAGGAAGCTGATAGTATCTGGTATTACTCAGCCTCTTCTCTTATGTTTTATAAACTCCTTGCCTGTCCTCCTCTATTGCACCCCATTATTTTTTACTAGGCTGCAGAAAAAAGGTTATGATATATCGCCTAGAGCTTTGAAGATTGTCGGCAGAACTAGTGGTGTACTCTTTAACCTTCTACTTAAAACTTGTGGACAAACATATTAACTCGTGTAAACATATGAAAGGAGGTACCTTATCAGATAACCAAGATCCTCTAAACTCGTACCTCTCTACATCTCAGTCATCTGGAAAGACAACGAGAAAGTACATAAGACTCTATGTGCGTGCTAAAAAATATAAAAATCTACAATAACGAATTCAGCTCGTCTGCCGAGTGATGTAGAAAGTATTAAAATGAATTAATTAATCAACTTGTTTATGAAAGCAAACTAAGTGACGATGAGCGTGATACATTTAACGTATTATGAACCTAATTGCCAAAGTGATTTAATGCCTAAACTAACCGCACATTTTGAAGAAATCTGTAGACACAGTGAATATTTTAATCTTTTCCTCATGTAATTTCTGCTGACATTCATTTTGTTATGTATACATAGTTACTGCCTCCATCCAACTGATGCAGTATGATGTGCCGAAAATTTGAAGACTACCACCCAAATAGCTTCCAGAAGGAAACAATCATTATCACTATTACCACTACTATTATTATTATCATTATCAGGAGAAAAATCGGTTTCATAGGCCTACAATACATCCGCTCATTGCGAAAACTCTTAGTCAGTTTACATATGAGTTGGTTTGGGATTTCATAGAGGTTAACAGCAACTGGGATGAGGTTTGGAAAATCCACTGGCTTCCACTAACCTTTCGATATAGCTTACCGACTGTCTTTATCACTGTTTCTACAGCAGACTAAAGATTATATCAGGCTTCATGTGGGTGAGAATTGCTGCGTTGTTCGGGTGAATGCTTAGCTGTCTTCTCTTGAAACCCACACTTGACGCTCTCATCTTCCAGTCGATTACACGGGGGTTTAACTGCTCTTTACTCCCCTACATTCCACGAGCTGTGAACACGCCTGTTCTCGTAATAATGCATGGTGGTGGTGGTGGTTGTGCAGTTACTGCAAAAATAGTGGCAGTTCTTCATGGACACTCCATGACTATGATTGACAGGAATATGATCTATCTGTGTCAAATGAGCGTTGGTTTGATGTCAGTGGAAGTGAAGTGAGACAATGTCACTCATTATGCTTGATGTTAGCGCTGTCCAGAAACAAGCTATTCTCAGATCAGAATTTTAAGAGACGGTCACGAACGTTGGTTTGTTGGCCTGGAGTACTCTTTCACTGTCGACACCTGTAAAGTGTCTTTCTGACTGGCTTGGCTTCCATACTTGGGTGTTGTAGTCATACACTTGTATGACTATTTCCGAACGTTTGTCTCGTAGTGAGGAAATTGGATAGGTGAGTTCAAATGAGCAGCTACACCTGGGTTTCTTGTTGGTATGTCTCAGAAAAAAAGCACACATTCGTGGCCTGTTGTGTGGTTTGGCATAGAGTGGGGACATTGATAGGTTGAATGTGAAATTGACAGCTTAGCTTTGAGGAAATTAGAGGTTGTGCTTTGCTATCTATGGTACAGTGGGTTGTAGTGAGGAGTGGTTAGCAATGTTTGTCAGGTGACAAGTTGAGGAAACTACTGGAAACTTAAATTTTGGTGGCAGGAGCGGGTAGTTACTACAAAAGTAAGAAAGCTAGATGCCAGTCAGATGAACTTCGTACACAAGTGGAGGCGAGTGCGTGGTTGGTACTTCTCGGCTACCTACGCCATTGTTTTTGATGTCTTCCAGTGGACAGTTGAGAAAGGAATTAGGTTGGTAATAGTATAATTTGTTAGTACTGATTTCCCTCTTCGCTTCACGTACTCTTTCTGTAGCTTTCGATAGCTTATTTTTCCATGTTTTCATTGTTGATATCGCTCCCTTAAATGCTGATCTGAAACACAACAATGTAGTGTTACACAGTTTTGCCAGGGTGCACATTTGTGTTACAGAGTAATATAGGAAAACGTTTTAGACCTTACAGTTTATCACCAAATGAAAAATAGTTTATGTCAGGTATACTTTAGACTAGAATTCTGAAATAGTGTACCTGAGGTTCTTATACATAGGGAAAGGTGAACTAATATCTTAGTATTAATGTTTCTTGGGCAACGATTTTCCCAATGAGTTCTGGCAGTTTTCTTTGCTAAAAACTACTTCACTTTTCTAAGTAGTATGTCAAATTTACTAAAAGACGCTTACATTCCTGAGTTCTTCATGGACGCCAACTGTATCAGCCATCTATTGCTTAAATTCTTGCAAAATATATGCTGTGCAGTCTGATGTTAAAATACGTTTTTTACACAGCTGTCATTCTTCAAATCTTGTCGAGGAAGTTACTTAACTTGAAATTAGAACCTTATTATTGTTTCACAATAATAGGTTATGAGTAATATTTCCGTATTCGCTATAAATTTCCAACCAAGTCACTCAAATCCCCACCGCTCCTGTAACTCTACTCGCCCGACAGCTCCTACCCTGACGTGGTGGTCGGGCTTGTACATCACAAAAATCCAATGAGCTATGCAGGTGAAACGTTTGTTCCCTCGAGGTATTACCATGCAAGAAAATTCAGACAGATAGTGGTAAGACAAAAGTAGTGACCATTAAAGTGTAAATTTCCGCGCTGTGATAGAGGTCTATGGGTGGAGTCGTAATGCTGGCTGGAATGGGGTGTGACAGCAATAAGGCGTTTTCTGCAGATGACTAGTAGTGCCACGTTTATGTTCCGCCTTCCCTATGCGAAGGTGAGGAACTAGAAAACATGAGACCTTAACATACTATACTCTTAACCCTGTGACATACTGGTACTGACCATACGAGTTTATAGACAAGTTCAAGACCAATATATAAATATATCAAACCTCTAAGACGATCGTTTTTGACTGGTCTCGAGCAGACATCTCTTGGGCTATATTGCCACACCCTAACCCTACTTGTTCATGTACCTGAAGAAGAAGCAACCTTCCATCGTGTGGGCAGCAGGAGAGTGTTAATCGCTCACTCAACTCTGGTAGCTTTAAGTTACATCGGATTATTATTAACAATTTTTTTTAATTTAGTGCGCATGTGAAAGATTAAGAACATACGAAATATGAATTCGATTCGTCCTTAAATGTTTGTTCTTGCTTTGCAAAATTAATTAATTAAGTGTATGAAACCTCCAAAATCTCGCCTCCCTGCGAATACCGTTTGAGCTCTGGATAACTTAGTGATGAAAAGCTGCAAAATTATACGTTAATGCATTCGCATTACATTCCTCAGAAACCTTCTGCATGACAATACCTTTCCTTGACAATATTATAAACAACTACGTTGGCAAGAACTATCTCCTACTTATAGTAATTTACGTCGCCTTACTCTATCTTTTATAGAAACTACTGATGATACATTGAGTGAATTATATAACACATTCAGTCATAACAAATTATCCGTGGATTCATTAAATTTATTTTGTCGCATAAAGTTCTTCAACTTTTGTTGTAATATAGAGTATCGTACTCGTTTACAAACAGAGATTGCTTTATACTAATCATTAACTCGAGAACCTATTGAACAATGTTATCTGAAAAACCCAGAAAAGTATG